CCTGGACGGCGGGGGACACAGGACAACGGGGGACACCTGGACGGCGGGGGACACAGGAGGACAACGCGGGACGCCCAGCACGTCATGCCCGCCGCCGCCGCCGCGGAGAGGACGGCCCGTGGGTCCGGGGCGCGGCGCCGGCGCCCACCTGCGGCAGCTGCACGGGCCGGGGCGCGGGGGGCAGCAGAGCCCGGCCACGCGTGTTCTCCACCGTCTTTATTTATCACAAAAAGAAACCGCGCGCACGAGAGCGAAGGGCCCCCAGAGGCGGCCGGGCGACCCCTCAGGCCGCCGCCCTCTGACCCGCCCGTCCCCCGTCGGTGCCCCCAGTGTCCCGCGAGGCCCGCGGCGGCAGCACGGGCAGCTCCGCCAGCGTCCCGGGCCCAAGGGAGGCGGCGTGTCCCCAGCGGCTCCGCGTCCTCCAGACGCGCCCGGAGCCCGTTGGCGTGTCCGGCGGCCGCAGGCCCGACAGCTGGGGCGCGCGGGGGGGGCCCGTCCAGCAGAAGGGCCCGTCGTGGGCGGCACCCCAGAAGCTCCGGCGGCGGGTCAGGACGGGGTGAGCAGCCGCTGCCGGGCGCCGTTCTCCTCGCTGGTGCCCCCGCCCGGCACGTGCAGCTCTGCCGGGAGACGGGGCGTCACAGCAGGCCCCCCGCCCGCCCGGCCCCCGAGACCCTTGGGGGACCAAGACTGACACCTGGGGAGACCCCCACCCCGACACCGCACCCCCGCACCCCACGGAAGTGCCCCGGGGGCGGGAGGCGGAGGGAGGGGAGGGCCGGGAGGGGGGGAGGGCCAGGAGATGGGGGGAGGCGAGAGGGAGGGGAGATGAGGGATTTGGTGCGGCAGGGGAGGAAAGGTAGGGGGACGGGAGGGTTAGGGGGGACGGGAGGGGTTAGGGGGACGGGAGGGTTAGGGGACGGGAGGGGTTAGCGGGACGGAGGGGTTAGGGGGACGGGGGGTTAGGGGGACGGGAGGGGTTAGGGGACGGGGGGTTAGGGGGACGGGAGGGGTTGGGGGGACGGGGGTTAGGGGGACGGGAGGGTTAGGGGGGACGGGAGGGGTTGGGGGGCGGGGGGTTAGGGGGACGGGAGGGGTTAGGGGGACGGGGGCGTTAGTGGGATGGGAGGGGTTAGGGGGACGGGGTGTTAGGGGACGGGGTTAGGGGGATGAGGGGGGGCTGGGAGGGGTTGGGGGGACGGGAGGGGTTAGGGGGACGGGGGGTTGGGGGACGGGAGGGGTTAGGGGGACGGGTGGGTTAGGGGGACGGGAGGGGTTAGGGGACGGGGGCGTTAGGGGAACGGGAGGGGTTAGGGGGACGGGGGTTAGGGGGATGGGACGGGTTGGGGGGACGGGAGGGATTAGGGGGGATGGGAGGGGTTAGGGGGACGGGGGCGTTAGGGGAACGGAGGGGTTAGGGGGACGGGGGTTAGGGGGATGGGAGGGGTTAGGGGGATGGGAGGGTTGGGGGGACAGGAGGGATTAGGGGGGACGGGAGGGATTAGGGGGACGGGAGGGGTTAGGGGAACGGGAGGGGTTAGGGGACGGGAGGGGTTAGGGGATGGGTGGGTTAGGGGGACGGGAGGGGTTGGGGGGACGGGGGTTAGGGACAGAAGGGTGTTAGGGGGACGGGGGGGTTAGGGGGACGGGAGGGGTTAGGGGGGATGGGAGGGGTTGGGGGGACGGGGGATTGGGGGACGGAAGGGGTTGGGGGATGGGAGGGGTTAGGGGAACGGGGGTGTTAGGGGATGGGAGGGTGTTAGGGAGACGGGGGGTTAGGGGGACGGGAGGGGTTGGGGGGACGGGGGTTAGGGGGACGGGAGGGTTAGGGGGGACGGGAGGGGTTGGGGGGACAGGGGTTAGTGGGACGGGAGGGGTTAGGGGACGGGGGGTTAGGGGGACGGGAAGCGTTAGGGGACGGGAGGGGTTAGCGGGACGGGAGGGTTAGGGGGACGGGAGGGTTAGGGGGACTGGGGGTTAGTGGGATGGGAGGGTTTGGGGGACGGGAGGATTAGGTGGGACGGGAGGGGTTAGGGTGACGGGGATTTAGGGGGACGGGAGGGGTTAGGGGGACGGGGTTTAGGGGGACGGAGGGCGGGGGTGTTAGGGAGACGGGAGGGGTTAGGGGGACGGGGTTTAGTGGGATGGGAGGATGTTAGGGGGACGGGGGTTAGGGGACGGGAGGGGTTAGAGGGACGGGAGGGGGTAGGGGGATGGAGGGGTTGGGGGGACGGGAGGGGTTAGGGGGCGGGGGTTAGGGGGACGGGAGGGCTTAGGGGGACGGGAGGGCTTAGGGCGACGGGGGTAGGGGATGGGGGAGTTAGGGGGACGGGGGTTCGGGGGATGTGGGGATTAGGGGGCCGGGGAGTTAGGGGACCGGAGGGGTTAGAGGGACGGGGGGGGGGGGTTAGGGCGGGAGGGTTAGGGGGATGGGGGGTTGGGGACGGTGTGGTTAGGGGAATGGGGGGTTAGGGGGACGGGAGGGGTTAGGGGGACGGGAGGGTTGGGGGGATGGGAGGGTTGGGGGACGGGAGGGGTTAGGGGACGGGAGGGTTGGGGGGGACGGGAGGGGTTAGCGGGACGGGAGGGGTTAGGGGGACGGGGTGTTAGCGGGACGGGTTTGTTAGGGGGACGGGGGGGTTAGGGGGACGGGAGAGGTTAGGGGGGACGGGAGGGTTAGGAGGAGGGAGGGGTTAGGGGGACGGGGGGTTAGCGGGACAGGAGGGTTAGGGGGACGGGGGGGGTTAGAGGGACGTGGGAGTTAGGGGGACGGGAGGGTTAGGGGGATGGGAGGGGTTAGGGGACGGGGGGGGTTAGGGGGATGGGAGGGGTTAGGGGATGGGAGGGTTGGGGGACGGGAGGGGTTAGGGGGATGGGAGGGTTAGGGGGGACGGGAAGGATTAGGGGGACGGGAGGGGTTAGGGGGATGGGGGTTAGGGGGACGGGAGGGGTGGGGGACGGGGGTGTTAGGGGGACGGGAGGGGTTAGGGGGCCGGTGGGTTAGGGGGACGGGAGGGGTTAGGGGACGGAGGGGTTAGGGGGACGGGGTGTTAGGGGGACGGGGGTTAGGGGGATGGGGGGTTAGGGGACGGGAGAGGTTAGGGGGGACGGGAGGGTTGGGGGGACGGGGGTTTGGGGGACGGGAGGGGTTAGGGGGACAGGGGGTTAGTGGGACGGGAGGGGTAGGGGACGGGGGTTAGGGGGACGGGAAGCGTTAGGGGGACGGGAGGGGTTAGCGGGACGGGAGGGTTAGGGGTACGGGCGGTTAGTGGGATGGGAGGGGTTGGGGGGACGGGAGGGATTGGGGACGGAGGGGTTAGGGGGACGGGAGGGATTAGGTGGGACGGGAGGGTTAGGGTGACGGGGATTTAGGGGACGAGGAGGGGTTAGGGGGACGGGAGGGCGGGGGTGTTAGGGATACGGGAGGGGTTAGGGGACGGGGTGTTAGGGGGATGGGAGGATTAGGGGACGGGGGGTTAGGGGACGGGAGGGGTTAGAGGGACGGGAGGGGTTAGGGGGATGGAGGGGTTGGGGGGACGGGAGGGGTTAGGGGGACGGGAGGGTT